GATAGATAGATAGATAGATAGATAGATAGATAGATAGATAGATAGATAGATAGATAGATAGATAGATAGATAGATAGATAGATAGATAGATAGATAGATAGATAGATAGATAGATAGATAGATATTGCCATGTATGGATGGATAGATAGATAGATAGATAGATAGATAGATAGATAGATAGATAGATAGATAGATAGATAGATAGATAGATAGATAGATAGATGGAGCTAGGCCTTTTAGTGTTTGACACTCAAAAACATTCCTATAGTCAATGTTGGCACGTCTAAATGAATTTCTTCCGTGCAATTTATCTATTCATTCATTTTGCTTGTCATTTTATTTAAGGATTTATTAATTGAACTTTAGCACATCCGCCTCACAGTGCAGAGGTCAAGGGTTCGATTCTGGCCCTGGCCTCCTGTGTGGAATGCATGTTCTCCCCGTGCCTGTGTGGATTTTCTCTGGGTACTCCGATTTCTTCTCAAATGCCAACAACACACATGGTAGGTTGACTGAATGCTCAAAATTGTCCCTCGGTGTGATTGTGTGCGAGACTGGTTTGTATTTGTGTTCCCTGCGATAGCTGGCAACCAGTTCAGGGAGTACCACGCCTGTAGCCCGATGAGAGCTGAGATAGGTTCCAGCATGAATGCGACCTTCGTGAGGATAAGCGATTCAGATAATGGATTGATGTATGGATAATTGAACTTTTCTTTACTTACTTCACAGCGATGTGGGCATTCTCAACGTAGGCCAAGGCTGCTTCGAGACCTTTAAGCTGAGCCACCGCATTTGACTCTGTGACAAACTTCTTGATCAGTCCAAGGTACTTCCCCCACTCTGGACTCTTCTCATCAGTTATCCTATTGAACAACTGCAGAGCTTCTTCATAACCATTTAGACGGGCTTTCCACACCTGGAAATGAAAAGGTTCACAACAATGGCGTAAACGCAAACTGGGTTTTGTCAAAATCATTGATTCTGGCTTAAGTACAGTTCTGCATTTTGGGTGGCCAATGCCAGCCACCCCCCAAAAATTATATTTCTTGCCAGAATAAATTATTTCAGCGTTGTCTCACAACTATATTAGCAAACAGAACATCAATGGACTACAAGCACCTTATGTTCGCATTTCTGGTCGATGGGAAGCTTCAACCACTCACTGTCGTCCCCCATTTTGCCACTTGCAGCGGCGGGCTTCCCCAAAGGTGCTCAACTGGAAAACAAACAATTTTAAGCAAAGTTAAACTAAGCGACGTGGAGCAAATGAAGTCAGTGTGCCATAGGTAAGTCCCTCTAAAACAGGTGACATGTGAAAAGCATGACAATGCGAGATGAGTTTGCACATGCTGCCGTCATGTTACCAGATTAGCCGCTACTTGCGAGACATGCCACTGGACCAAAAGCAGTACAGTAATCTATTGTGTCATCTTTCGATCATGCAACCACCCCCTCCAAAAACCTCCCCGCATGAAGAATTGCCAGTCCATGAAAAGCATGTACTTGCTTGAACCGGTCTTCAGTGCATGCAAGGTTGGGGACTACTGATATACATTGTATAAATTGCATTTTAATGCGCATTTGACAGCTTTGTCATTGATTCAGTTCACTTCTGAAAACATTCTGTCAGCCATGAATGCCATTTAATTCCTAATAGTAGAACATCCGTAAAACGGCACCAGAAAGTGATATCAGCATCCTTCACGAGACCTCAATACCTTGAAATAAGGCAGATAACAGCCCAAAAGCAATGCCTTGTAACTCGCCCATCCCTAAAAAGAACATGCAGATGGAGTATTGAAATAGGGTATTTCAAAATTTCAGGTTTCACTTCTTGCAAGGGTGGTCTGCATTGTAACCCCAACAATGGAGTTTCGGTTTCCTGTACTACCAGATTTTACAAATGCAACTATTTGTTCAATGTTATAGCATAACGTAACTTAGGTCCTGTGGTGCATTACTGAACATCAGGCAGCCACGAGCCTCCAATCTTCTCCGTTTCTTGCATGAGTTGATTGAGTAATGCACGCTAATGGTGGGCCATCAGGTTCCTATTTTATATTGATTGAGCTCCATCCAGCAAAATCAGTACATGTGGAACCTCTAAAGTTGAATGCCCCTCAAGTTGCATGTTTCAGAAATCAACCAAAATTTCAACAACAAAAAATTGTCTCACACAAAGCTGAGTTTTATCAGGCAGGAACTCAGCCAATCACACATGATCTTGGCAGAGCAATATCAAAAGATTCATTTTGGCCATGTCTTTGGCTCTTTTGGATTGGATTGGATTGGATTGGATACAACTTTATTGTCAAATGTGCTATACAGCACAGATGAAATTTCTTCCCTCTAAACAAAAAACAAGAGGAGCCGCTGCGGGTGTCCATCAAAAGAAAAGTTAACAAAAAATGACAAAATAATACAAAACAACACATGAGACACAGACAATCGTGCAATCTTAACCACTTTCCTACATACACTTTGTTATCTGAAAGTGGTTCAAATACGTCATGCTGCAATGTGCACACGTCTGCTACAAGCTCAGCTTGAAAGCAACAAGATGCTGTAGCACCCATTAACGAAAAAGAGAGATTGGCTCTCTTCTCCTGTCCCATGTAAATCCGCTTCAATTCCAAGCCGCGACTCCCAGTTCTACATACGCATCGGCGCATTGGAGCAGTTATTGAAAAATTATTTGACTGCCATCACATGATCACACGAGACGTTCCTCTTAAAAGAGGGCTCAGATAAATACCGTCCCGGCTCACCTGATTTCTGGGTTTGGTCATGTGACATTCGCCAGCCCTGACGCACTGTTATATAATTTTTAGTCAACAGCAAGTGACTAAAACTCCTAAGCTGGCTAAAATGGGTGGATTTTGCTGCGAAATTAATGTTCCACATTTGCAATATTAATCAAAATATCGGGTTTAGAGTACACCAGTGGGACATAGAACATATTGATGAAAAGACAATTGTTGACTTGACTTCTCCTTTAAATATACATGGCCTGTATCTGCAGCCTCCGCGACTCTTACAACTGACTATTATGTTAATTAACCCAACAATTTGGACAACAGCACTCCTACAGAAACACTCAGGTAACTATAGAGTTTTGACTGGAGTGGACCCAGATTTTTGTTTACATAAATAAAAAAGTAATAGTTCTGCAAATAAAGAACTATAACATAATTGTACCAAAAGACCATGTCAAAACACAGGACACCATTTCCTGAGCGTGATGGCAAACATCAACACCATCAATACAACAGTACAATACGTTTTAAACAGTTCAAGTCTCATACACGCACATGCACGTGCAAAATATGAATTTACGCTGACGTATAAGATCACTTCGTTCGGTTGGATTCAGCTATCCATGTCATACTAGACTGTTACCTTTGCATAATGGAACAACTTCGTTTGTCGGATAATTGAACAACGTGTTTGTTGGGATTTTTTTAAGCGAGTCACGTCATACAATCAACAGCAACACTGACAAGCTAGCGCATTACATCCTTCATTCGGGGTAAAGACACCCCCCCCCCGAAAAAAAACAAGCACTACACACTTACATTTAATAAACAACATAAGTAAAACACTAAATATGCGTTACGAGATAGGGTAAACAGGGGGCTGCCATGGAAAACGATTTTTGTTCATAGCAGACGGTAGCCGCCTTTAGCTGCTCTGCGAGCTAACCATCGGCGCCAACACAAACAGGCCGATCAAGGCAACGCACATCGGCCTCTTAACTGAAACGCAGTAGCCTAACACGCTATATATGTGCCGAATATTCGTGTTAATGAGGACGACACAGCAATTACTTTTTAATTGACTGAATACCTGTTTCGGGGGTCTTGGAGACAGTAAGATGCTAGATGTCCGGATTGTGAGACGGAGGTGAAAATGCAATCACCTCGATCAAGCTTTATAGACTAGTATACGTACACACAGGATTCAAAATCCAACATCCGGTGAAAAATAAACCGTGTAATTATTAAACACTGTACCGCCTACTGGTGAACGAAGTTCTTTTGTGTGTCATGTATATTTATTTTTATTATAAAATTATACACGGTATTTCACTCAAATTTGTTTTTGGGGAAGAGAATGTGAATGATTTAACGCTGATGTATTCACCACTTCCGGTGTATCACTGTTAGTTGAGCCCAACTTTATTAAAAACAAATTTGAAACGTCTCCAGGGGCGGAGAAAGAATGGGCGAGTCTGAATTTTTTTTAATTACATGCTCATATATATATTTTGCATTCTATTATACAGAGTAAATATACGGTGTCGCTGAACATCCATCTACCTTTACACAAATTTCGCTTCTCCTAATGATTATTTTATTCATGCTGGTGCTTGGGACATGCATCCTCGTATGTCACGAGAGTCGAACGCTGATTGGTCAAATTTGAACCTCAACCCCACCCTAGAGTGAAACTTTGAATTGAGGAACTTTTTAATTGGCCCACGATAGGCTGGTGCTCGGAAAATAATTTCGACTAGTGTATTGAAATGTTGCTCCATCACGTTTGTCCTGGGGCTTAGCTCTTTACTCACAATATATTTTGTTATAAAAATCAATAATAATCAAATAAACACTTACAATACTTGGGAACGTATAATAAAGTAACCGTGGAACTAAAATAAGCACAATTAATATGTAAATATCAGCAAAAAAAAAGGAATAATCTACATAAACATAGTAAATGAATTTCTCCCTTATACATACAACACACACATACGTACAACAATATTTAAGAATATTCAGATTTATACATATTTCATATACTGTATACAGTATATTGTTATCCAATATGCAGTGTGCTTTCTTATCATAATACCATGCTTAAATATCAATATGTAATAATATGAGAGGAACTGGGCCTATAGTCGGGATTTAAGTGACCTAATCCACTTCTTTATGACACCATTAAACTGCAAAATAAAAAATGCAATTTTCTCTGCCTGTAACTATGCATGAAATTAAACAGAGGCATTTCATGTATTTGAGGATGACCGCTATTATTACCAAAGAAACAGTTATCTTTATATTCCAATACATCACCAACATACAACCCAAACCTCCACATTACAATATAGCAGTTCACAATCAATATTTATCTCATGACCTGACAAAATTACAAAAACTTTCAATAAAATACATCATATTCAATAGAAATGCTGATCCAAAACATCCATCCCATCTTTGCCCGTGACTGTGCAAGATAGCTGCAGCGCTCATACATGTTGCTTTCAAAGTGCCCCAAAAAATTCATTTTTGCAGCTTGAAACAAGCCAGTCAGCAGTAGTGTTTGATGACCTCACCTCTTAATGTTGACTTTTTCTTGAAAACCATGCATTGACAATTTATTTGTACTTATGTCCAAGAGTGTCCTAGTTGAAGTCAATTCGTGGTTTTACTCAAGTAAAGGCACAAAAGAAATGGTTTTAAGTAGAAAAGTAAAAGTACAGTATTGCAAAGGGGTAAAGAATAAAGCCATGTCACAGGTCTCTATTGGGCACTACCTCACCTGCCCCAAAACATTTTTCTTAAGGCCATAATGAGTATGTTATATTAAAATGTTACCTTGAACTGGAACCTTTTTCAGATTAACATAATCCCCTCCAAAAGGATTGGAACGTCAAACTGTGCACTGAGGTTTGGATCTCAGATAAAAAAATGAAGATAAGACAAAAGTTCTGGTTAGCATCTCCGCTTCACAGTGCAAAGGTCAGGGGGTTCGATTCCGGCGCCGGCCTGCCAGTATCGTGTTTGCATGTTCTCCTTGTGCATGCATGGGTTTCTTCCCACATTCCAAAAACATGCACAGTAGGTTGATTAAGTGCTCTAAAATTGTTCCTAAGTGTGACTGTGAGTGTAAATGGTTGTTTGTCTCTGTGTGCCCTGTGATTGGTTGGCAACCAGTTCAGGGTATACCCTGCCTACTGCCTGAAGACAGCTGGGATAGACTCCAGCACGATATGTGGATCAGATGGACGGAAGGATGTAACTGGCTATCTTTGGGAGAAATAAAAGATATGTTTTACATAATGTCTTTTTAAACACATTGATGTTATCTTTTACTATACAGTAATCCCTCGTTTATCGCGGGGGTTACGTTACAAAAAGAACCAGTGATAAGTGAAATCCGTGAACTAGTGAACTTTATTTTTTTACAGTTATTATACAATACTTAACTATATATACAATGAAATCAAAGACCAAGGCCTGTTTTCAGGCCCAATTACAAAAAAAAAACAAAAAACATTTTCAACAAATATCTATAATAGTGTTTGGAAATACTGTACTGTAGACACATGTCTCCACCGACGCGTTCTGATTTAAAGGGTTAAAAGCATTAAAAAACTGCACTTGAAAAAAATCCGGGAAAAAGCGAAGCCGCGGAAAGTGAACCACGTTGGAGCGAGGGATCACTGTATACTACAGTATTTACTTATAATAGAGCAGCATGACTCAAACCGTGTTTTTTTTAAAGCTTGTACAACAACACATTTTTCTTCTTCTTCTTCTTAAAGCTTGTACAACAACACATTTTTCTTCTTCTTATTATTATTATTATTAATTATTATTACCTTGCAATGTTTGTTTCCGATTTGTTGCTGTGATTGCAGCATTTCTTTCTTGTTTTTTTTGCTGTTTGTTGTTGTTGTTGTTGGGGTTTTTTTTGCATTTATCTATTTATGTTTCTTATTGCCATCATTCATGTGTTTGCAGCCTTCGGACGTTTGCAGCGCGTTTGCTGTCGGCCTCAGTAACATTGCCCCTGACATTGCCCAGTTGTTGCGCGATCCTTGGCGCTGTTCATGCCACAATTGCCACTGTACATAGTCATATGCCTCACTTCGACAGGCTACAGAGACAAGCTAATTTATTTTTTTTAATCATACAGCAGTTTCGGTCCACCAATTATCAATAATAAATTTAATACGTCGTCTCGTTAACCTTTTTCTGCAAGGTAAATGCTCCAAATATTTTGTAAGCTAATTTGGTGAGAACATTGTACCATTTCAAGTGTCGTTGCCATGAAAAGCTATTTGCGTTTCCAAAGAGGGTAGGAACCAAGGTTTCGGATGTGTTTTTTAACGCAATTGAAATGGTGACTCACAACATCCGCTTTGTCCTGAACGATAAAATCCGGGCGAAGAGAGACATGAGCTAGGAAAATCTCAAAACGACAGTGTCAGACATTTATACCGTCCATTTTCGATAGGCATACATTTTAGCAAGGTTACATGTAATGTTCGACTGTTTCTGTCGATATGACGTCAGGAATGAATCGCTTTAACCCAACTATCACGGTCGACGAATACCTCGGTAGGTTATTCCATCGACTAGTTCACGTTTGTCTTCGCTTTCACTTCCAAAACTAGGAGATTAGGGGCCACCCATAGACGAATTTTCAATTACTGCAACAACTTATGCCCTCCCGGGTGCCATCTTGTCTTTGTTTAATGATTTGTTTTCTTTTTTAATTGTTCCACAGCTGAGAGTAATGTGCTGTTTTACCTGAGTGATGCTCTGACCCAGCTGCTGGAACATAAAGAGGAATACACCCATTTTGGTGTAATCCGCTACTTCGCTGAATAGTATGTCATATTTATTCGGCTACTCATTTACAGGAAGTGTAATCTAATCTATGTCACTTGGATATGATTACAACGTATGTGTATCTACAATATATTTGCATTTATTTATTGTGTGTCTGTAGTTTTAGCAGCGTAAAAAATAGTAACCACATCCTCTTCAGAGAGTATAACTACATCAAGGCCACTCCTCATAATAGAGCCTCATTCATCAGAGTCTTCTGGAGATGCTATCGTCAGATTGGCAAGAGTGGAGGTGAGAGAAACACTTGAAACTAAAATAGTCAGAAGACAATGTTTTTCCTCATGGTTTTGAAAATTGTGTGGGGTCAAATGGTTGCATAGTTCTCTAGGATATAGATATGGACAAACAGTAATTGACTCGTTGACAAATACAAATTGACAATTTATTTGTGTTTGGACATTGGTGCTTTTCGCTCCTGCAATTATTAATGTTATTATTATTATTGAACTAGTTTTATCACAGATGCCATTGATGTGGTGTAAATGTTTTATTTTTATTATTTTAATACGTGAAAACCGTAACATGCACCCAAACTGAGTAGCATTCTTCCATCTTGCAAGTCAATTAATCTTTTCTCCTTGTGGTTGTTGCTTCCAGATCTGCTGTCCATTTTGGAGTACAGCTCCTTGCTCCAGTTGCTATGTCCAGACTTCCCGATGGAGACAGTAAAGAGTGCAGCCAGGTCCATTTATTGCAACATCACAGATCATGAGAAATAATCACTTCCTGGATATTTTGTTTCTTATCTTGCACTGGTCAAAATCATTTTGGATGTGTACACTGGGATTGTGAGCCTCATCTGTAATGCGTTATGCAGATCATTCACTGATATAACCGCTGTTGTGGGGGGGTAACTCGAGCTTTGTTCAACACTTGTTTGACTGCTTAGCCGATATAAATCTTGGTGTAGAGCTGACCAAGATTTAAAAATGGAAAACTCGCATTTAATTGAGTTCAGGTATTTCTCTTTTACTCGTTAACCTCCGAATGGGCTAGTGGGACTAACTTAGAATCTGCATTTGAACTCAGCGATGAACACAAATTATCTACAAGCAGCGAAAACAAGTTTAAAAAAAAACCATGATGAATATGATGTTTGTATGTATACCGTAGTATATTCATATAACTATGTTTTTTAACACGGTTTGTGGGCAGTACTTTCAGCTCATTGGCAGTAAAACAGTGTGTTAAACTTCTTTTCTTTCTTCCCCATAGAATTGTTTTGACGGATGATGGTTTTGACTGCCTGATGTCTTTCTCAGACTTCCTTTATGCCTTCCAGCTGCAATTCTA